GTAGGTGAGGGCAGCGGTGGAACGGGGGTACTGTGTGAGAAGCTGTGTGCAAGTCTCTGTGTGAGCGCCGCGGTGTGCAAGCCTCTGTGTGAGAGCTGCTGGGTGCGAGCCTCTGTGTGAGCATGCAAAGATCTTAAGATCAATACGGAAAATGTTGAAGATGATTCTGTAGGGAAATACCTTAGTGACTAAGGCTGCACATGGATCTCCAATCCTCCTCACTCTTGGCATATGGGTGGAGCCTGGGAACGCATGATTGGGATTGCTTGACGGATTTTTGACTCCATGCTGTGTGATTTCGGGTCCACATGGCTCTCTCACGAGTTCTTGACCACTCTCAAGGTCGAAGTCTCAGCTATAATTAACTCAAGACCCCTGATCCCCGTCTCAACCGACCCGGAGTCACCATTCATCTTGACTCCTGCTACACTTCTTTCCCAGAAGACAGACGTGCTCACAGCACCCATCGAGGAGGTTAGCACTGCAGATCTCTACAGACGTCAATGGAGACAAGTGCAGAGCGTCGCCAACAAGCTCTTGCGTCGCTGGAAAAACGAGTACCTTATGACAATTCTAGATTTAAAGCTTTCGTGACTGCAAGGATCCATACTTTTTGGTTCTATTCGGTAAAGTCACGTAACAAACAACAAAAAATAAAAATTCACGACGTTTCGGCCACAACACAAGTGGCCTTCATCAGGTCAAGGGACCGTGCTGTCATGAGGACAACGTTGGAGTGAAAACAGCCAAGCCCAGTTCGCGTCCTTTAAGCTGTGTGGGAGGAAGCAAAGTGCTTGACAAAGGAATTAGTATATAAATGAGCACAATATACGTAGGAGGTGTATGGGCCATGATGGACCAGGAGCGGGTGGGGACCATAACGGACCAGCAGCAGGGGGGGGGGGAGTAGAGTGAGTGAGTGAGTGGAGTGAGTGGAGTGAGTGGAGTGAGTGAGTGGAGTGAGTGGAGTGAGTGAGTGGAGTGAGTGGGTGGAGTGAGTGGGTGGAGTGAGTGAGTGGAGTGAGTGAGTGGAGTGAGTGAGTGGAGTGAGTGAGTGGAGTGAGTGAGTGGAGTGAGTGAGTGGAGTGAGTGAAGGGGACAAGACTGTCCAGAGGACAGCGCTGGAGTGCACACAGTCAAGCTCAGACCGCGACCTCTAAGCTGTGTGAGAGGAAGCCGAGCGCCCTGACAAAGGAATTAGCATAAAAGTTAGCATTTCATTGGCGGACTTAGAATGAAGGACGATGTACTGGGGAGCATGTGCTGATAGGCGAGGGGGAGAGGGGAGTGCCCACATATTGATGTTGTGAAAATGGAATTTAAGCAGCTGCGAAAGTTTGGGATACCACTACTTAAAATATACTGTACCATTGAAAATTAGCTTAATGTTTGGTTTGATTCAGAACATCTTTCCAAAGGTTGCTCAATTGATGGACCAGGAGCGGGTGGGGACCATGACGGACCAGCAGCGGGGGGGGGGGGGGGGCGGGGGGAAGTAGAGTGAGTGGGTGGAGTGAGTGAGGTGAGTGGAGTGAGTGGAGTGAGTGGAGTGAATAGGTGGAGTGAGTGGAGTAGAGTGAGTGAGTGGAGTGAGTGAGTGGAGTGAGTGGAGTGAGTGAAGGGATCAGACTGTCCAGAGGACAGCGCTGGAGTGCACACAGTCAAGCTCAGACCGCGACATCTAAGCTGTGAGAGGAAGCAGAGCGCCCTGACAAAGGAATTAGCATAAAAATTAGCATTTCATAGGCGGACTTAGAATGAAGGACGATGTACTGGGGGGGAGCATGTGCAGACCAGCGAGGGGGAGAGGGGGGGAGCCCACATATTGATGGTGTGAAAAGGGGGAATTTAAGCAGCTGCAAAGGTTTGGGATACCACTACTTAAAAAATATATTATACCATTGAAAATTAGTTTAATGTTTGGTTTGATTCACAACATCTTTCCAATGGTTGCTTAATTTGAAACCATCCTCTCGGTTGAAATTGTGTCTGTGTTTGTAAATCTGAATTGCCTCTTCTTTGGTTCTTTCGGTAAAGTCACGTAGAATGAGAATAAAATAATGGCCGAAACGTCGTGAGAATTTGATTGTGTTATTTTATTTTATTATTTTATTATTTTATTCTCATTCTACGTGACATTACCGAAAGGACCAAAGAATATGAATCCTTGCAATCACGAAAGCTTTAAATCTGAATTGCCTCATGAACGCGGGGGGGGGGGGGGGGAAGGGGGAGTTTACCTATTGATGGTGTGAAAAGGAAATTTTTAAGAGCTGCGAAAGTTTGGGGTACCACTACTTGAAAAATATACTGTACCATTGAAAATTAGTTTAATGTTTAGTTCGATTTAGAACATCTTTCCAATGGTTGCTTAATTTGAAACCATCTTCTCGGTTGAAATTGTGTCTGTGTTTGTAGATCTGAATTTCCTCGTGAACAAATCTCTGATGAAAACCCGTGGGTTTGCAAAGAACCTTGGTATCGGAGAAAATGATATCGTGATCACCCACAGTGTTGTAACAGTGATCAGCTACGGCAGAAGAATTCGTTCTGCTGTATTTCAAATCTGATTTGTGCTCGCGGATTCGGTCAGAGACATGTCGTTTCGTCTCCCCGATATAGCAGTCACCACAGGTGCAGATCAATTTGTAAACTCCAGGGTACTGTAAGTCAGGAATGACATCCTTCACGGAAGGGATCAGGTCACGGATTTTGTGTACTGTATTGAACCGGACCAGGATCTTGTGTTTGTTTAGGATTTTGGAGACCTTTTTAGTAACGCCTGCTATATATGGTAGTGTGATGGTTTTGACCAGAGTATCAAGTGGTTGTTTCTGTATGGAGGGAGAAACAGCTTGGCGGATGGTACGGTCAGAGTATCCATTCCTTTTGAGGGCCAGATGTACATGTTTTAATTCACTGGTCAGGTGGTGTTGGTCCGAAATGCAATGAGCCCTGCTGCTGGTCCGTTATGGTCCCCACCTGCTCCTGGTCCATCATGGCCCATACACCTCCTACGTATATCGTGCTCATTTCTATACTAATTCCTTTGTCAAGTGCTTTGCTTCCTCCCACACAGCTTAAAGGACGCGACCTGGGCTTGGCTGTTTTCACTCCAACGCTGTCCTCATGACAGCACGGTCCCTTCACCTGATGAAGGCCACTTGTGTTGTGGCCGAAACGTCGTGAAATGTTTATTTTTTGTTGTTTGTTACGTGACTTACCTTATGACACTTCAAGTGCACAACAAGTGGCAGTCGAGCAGATCAGACATCCAAGAAGGTGACCTTGTTCTACTAAAGGACAACCAAGTCAAACAGAATGATTGGCCAATGGGCCGCATCCTCAAGACGATTCTCAGTGCCGATGGAAAAGTTCAAAAGGTTGAGGTTATGATAGCGAAGCAAGGTGTCGCAAGAACTTTCTATAGCTGAGACAGTACTACTTCTCTCTCGCAAAGATACGGAAAAATAGTTCACTTGTTGAAGTTTGTTGTACATTTGTTTATGAGATAAATGGTGGTATCTCGTAGATACCAGACACACCTGCCTCACGGTGGTGGTATCTCGTAGATACCAGACACCCCCACACTTGCCTCACGGCAGGTGTGGGGGTGTGCATACACAGGAATTTCCTGATATGGTGTTAAGTTTGGTCACGTGACCAGGAAGTGACAATTTAAGATTCTCTAAGCCATGAGGCAGGGTGTCAGCCATTACACAGAGTACAAAATGGAGGCACAAATAGCATCTCAGTGAAGACAGGTGCATCTGTTCATAGTGGGACTTTAAGAAGCATTGTCTGTAAGTTAGTTTATGTTCTTGTAATACTGGAAATGCTGTTATAATGTTAGGATTGCCATTATAATGCTGTAAAAGCCTTTATAATGATGTTAAATTGTATGATAAATATGAGGCCTAGTTAACAACGAAGCCTGCCACTTGTACTATTGTGAATGTTACTTGTAATTGAATAAGTCGAGTCAGACTTGTACCCATGTAACTTTAATGCAATCTTGAGAGCAAGGATGAAGAAGCATCTCATCCACACTTCAGTGTTATGTGCAGCGCTGTACATTTAGGCTGCAGTATGGTGATTACACGATGTGACCTTATTTAACACAGTAGCTTATTCTCTTGTGTAGCTATTCAGTGCTAATGTAGGTGCCTGGTCCATCCAGGACCTATTGTTGAGTTTCATGTTATCTAAGAGAATGTTATGATACTGCAGTGTTCATTGTATTGATATTCCAAGTATTAACAGATGCTGTATTTTGTGCTGTGTTTTTCCATCAGTTTTACCTCGTGCTATTCATTAAATACGTTTGGAGTCGGATGTTCACCCTGGCTCTAAAAGTTTATTGAATGCGAGGTTAACTACTCGGATAGTGGTGCAATGCATCGCACAGCGAGGCTGAGAGACTAACTCTATAATAGTACTAACTTCACAGAGTGTAGTGGTAAGGCCTAGTCCCATGCAGAGCCCCCGGCCTTGCCTAAATTGCCCAGCCGTCTGAGGTGGCACCTTTGCAGGCTGGGGCTGAGCTGCTACCCCCCCCCCCCCCACCATCCCCCCACCTGCTCTACAATAACATTATCCAAGGACTATAATAGTAGTATCTACTGACCCTATAGTAGTAAGTGCCCACATTGGGGAGAAGAGGACATCGCACTATGAAGAATTTACCTCAGCATTGTGTATTTTTTGTTGTTGCATTTTTTACGCGAATGAGAATTCCCCCCTCCCCCCACCAATTGCGCGTGTGTCTTGCTAGGACAACCACCACCACGGAGCAAAGTAACGTTGCAGTGACGAGAAAAGGAAGCTGTAGAACAGGGCCATCCACAAGGGGACAAAAATGGGCAATATCTGCCTGGCTTCACGCAAGCGGGCCTCACGAGGGACCTGTCAATAAGGAGGCCCCCAAATGTGTGGCATTCTGCTGGGTTCCTCCGCAACACCTCTGGGCGGCAGTTTGGGTGACGGCAGCCCGTTCTCACCGGGTGCCTCGAATCTCAACGTGAAGACATTGAGCCTCTCGGGCTGAACTTGGGTCCTCTGCTTGTCACGCGTTGACGTCACGGTCACGATCACCGCGGAGACCGGCAGCCTCGAGGACAGCAGCACGAGCACAGCAGGTCGCGTCTGTTGGCCACAATATCCACACACAAACACACTTTATACTTTATACATACAAACACTCTTCACACACTATTCACACGCACTATAACACACTATTCACACGCAAAATACACACACTAGTTACACAGAAAACACACACTTCATACAAAATCCACACACACTTCACACCACACACTATTCACACATAACATCCACACACACTATTTAACATCCACACACACTATTTACACGCACATAATCAACGCAAACTTCACACAGACACACAATATCCGAACAAAACATTCACACATACACACAAAATCCACACGCTAAATCCATAGAAACTCTAAATATCTACACAAACACGTAATAATCAGACACACAAATGATGTCAGCACGGCGCTTGTGCCAGGCTATGTGCACTTTGAGGCTATGTGAAGTGTCGAACACCCGCTGACAGAAGGTCACGGGACAGACCCAGGTCCCATACGGTGATTTATTGAGATGACTGGCAGATGCACCACCTGTGCCCCCTACTGTGTCAACATTCAGTCTTTTAGCCACCCGGCGCTCCGCTCATTGTTCTGAGCATTGCTCTTCTGCTCTCCGTTGTTGCTGGAGGGTGACTGCCTCCGACTGCGAAGTAGCATCCTTCACCAGCTCCCTCCACAAAGGCCGATCTTGATACCGCTGGTACTAGTCATTGAAAAGTCCACTCAGCTCCAAATCCTCTCATGCCACATCATTCCATCTCTTCTCTAACACGTTCCTGCCCAACGAAAGCTGTTTGGGCATGCGGTGGCTGGACATGCGGGCTACATGACCCACCCAAAGCGGCCTTGCCTGCCGGAGGAGCTGACATATAGGACTGCGTCCAGATCTATCAAGGATTTGGGAGCTCCTCATACAATACAGCCTAATTAAACCCAGGATGGATTGTAGGCAGGCCAGCCTGAATGATTTTAACCAGCGTAGATATTCCATTACAGGGGTCCCACGTTTTACAAGCACACGATCGTATCATAGAAGACCCAAGCTTTGTGTGGAGCGACAGACCAGGTAGCTTCTACACAATACATACACAAACTGTACACACACACACAGAACATACAGTATCCAATCGCGTTTTCGCTATAACGCGGTTCTTCCATGAGAGAACACTTTTCACACAACGTGGAATGCGCCCGTTATAACGTGGAACACACACCCCATTATAACGCGGTGTACGAGCTGTCGATAACGAACTATTTTCTTGAGCATCCCTTGCGTATAATAGAGGATTCCTGCATTGAATTTCCTGTGCTTAGTTTGTACGAATGTGTACTCTGGGAATATTTTTTTGTTCTTGTGTTTGTGTAGGTCTCTCATACTCTGCCTCTGCAGTGTTAATATAGACATTAAGGATTTGACTGAGAAAGGGAACCGGCCGGGTGGCTCAGCGGTGGAGGGAGTGGCTCGCAATCGTAAGGTTACGAGATCAAATGCTGGTTGATGGTTGTGAGCCGCATTTAGAAACGTGCGTTGAGAGTTTTTGGCTGATATACATTTCCACACGATAAGCCACTTAGTTGAGCCATCATTGTGGCCAGGTCGCTTCTGAAAAGGAGCGAAATATCTCGAGGCTTACCCGGTAAAATAAAAAAAAATAGTTTAGTAGAATCAGTCCATCATCCCTCCGTGGTCAGTAAAAAGAGGTACCACTTTCTGGGGAAGTCAACAGTGGTTGTCCTATGGATAGACTTGCCCCCTGCCCTAGCAATGTGGAATTTTCATCACTGACTCGGGGCTCTAAATGGATGAGCACTGCCTCAAGGCTCGTTTGGGCAGGAACGCACAACGTTAAATGGTGGATTGATGTAATACGGTGTAGCTGCTACACTCTTGCTGCACAGACACGTGTAACGTTGCTGCACTTACTCCACAGATGATTTTCCGTGGCTCCACAATCACAGACTCAGACATTTTTATCACGTTCTGAGCTTCAGTTATTCCCTCCTGCGCATCCATCAGTTTCTTAGACTCTCCAGTGGACGTATCCAACATTTCTTCTTCTTTCTCATAATCATCAGCAGAACTATTGTCGTATTTTGATTGTAGGGTGTTTATGTGGAATTGCTTCACTGAATGCATCTTTTGCCGCGTTTTACTACCAACATGTTCTGAGGTAGGGTTCAAAGTAAGATCAGAATATAGGTTGTCAGGATGTGTATCAAGGTTTTCATTGACATTACGATCGAGGTAACGATAATCATTAGGCCTAAGGCTGCGATCATCGTTGCTTTTGTCAGAGTTGGGCTCATTGAAAGGGCCTATATCGTATGTATGGTCATTGCCAATGTCTGTAATACTGTCTGCCTCTGAACTGAGATAATCATCTTTACAGTCTTGTTCAAGATGAGGAGGGTATCTGCTATCATCAGTGCCCAGAAGAGAGCCACGGTTATCATCTTTACTGCCTTGCTGAAGATCAGGGTAACTGCTATCATCAGTGCCCAGTTGAGAGACAAGGTTATCATCTTTACCGCCTTGCTCAAGATCAGGGTAACTTCTATAATTAGGGCCCAAACGAGAGACAAGGTTATCATCTTTACTGCCTTGCTCAAGACCATGGTAACTGCTATCATCAGTGCCCAGATGAGATCCAAGGTCATCATCATCTTTACTGCCACGCTCAAGATGAGAGCAACTGTTATAATCAGCTCCCAGATTAGAATCTGAGCGAAAGTAGTCATCGGTGTCAGGCCTCTGGTCAGAACAGTTGGAATGAGATCCATCGACATTCGAGCTGACATCGAGGTAAATGTTTTCTTCGTCGTTGTCGTTGTCGTTGTATGGTTCAGCGTGAAGTTCTTGGTTAAACTCGGCCTCAAGAATCCCGAAGGGCACTTCCTCTTCTCCTTCCTCTTCACATGTTTGCCCAAAAAAGGGAACTGAAGAGTCGGCGAACCGCTCGGATTCTGAAATTGTGAAGTAAAACAAGGCTTAAAATCTGGACACAGTGATAACGCAGTAACGTGGATATGCAGCACTGGAGCGCATTGTAAAATAATCGGAGGTAACACTTTAACCAACGTTGAGAATGAGAAGATTTCTGAAGACAACTCATGGAGCTGCATTAAATTAACGTTAACGAATCCAACAGTTTCATCCACGTCCCTTTGAACGGCCACCCGTGGTGAAACCGGGTTCTAAAGTGAAGCCAGTTGATGGTTTCAGCCCGGTCACCTATTTTCTGCACAATATATAGCATGTTCAATTTGGTTTTGTAATTCATTGTCATGATGAGCAATGATATATCCACTTCTGGATAAAGGACTTCCTAAACCAGGGCCATCATCCCCTCTTTGCATGTAAATTCAAACTTTACACGTGAATTTACAACATGGAACTTAAGTTACTGATTTAGAACCACCAATGGTGGCGAGTATTGCTTGCCCTTCATGCTCACTGGAGCAGGGAGATACTTTGGCAGCAGTAATGTTTGAATGGAGAAGGCCCCGTCAGCACAAATCTCCGTGTGACATCATCGTGACGGATTATTTCCAGAAAACTCTCAAAGGCTGTTGTTCGTGGGTAGGATTTGCCATGAGAAGTGAGCTAAAGTGGTCTGTCCCCAATTATAGCAGCGATATGTACAATTTACGCGACTCCACACCTACCTCGCACACTGCCTTGTATCGTCCACTGAATGGCCGCGAGGTATTGCTCTGCTTGGCAATACGCGCTCAGGTGGACCCACAGGTGGCTGTCGGGGAGGACGTCCCTTAGCGTCGCGACGTCCTCCTCCTCCACCGCGTCGCAATTGAGCAGCACCACGCTGCGAGGCGGCGCCACGGCACGCACCAACGCCTCGGCCGGCACGGGCTCCTGCCGCAGCGTTCCGAGCAGCCCCGGGGTGAGCACTATCACCTTGCACGGGCAGCCGCGGAGGTGCAGCAGAACCTGCCTGGCCGGGGAGCGCGACGGACGCAGCTCCTCGTACCCAGTGCAATCCCTGGCCAGCCCGGAGGCGCTCGGCTTGGGGCGCTCGGGCGTCGGGTTTGTGGCGGCGGCGGCATCGTCGTCGTTTCTGCCGTGAACCAGCAAAGTGGGGAGCACGGCCTCCAGGGGGCACGGCTCAATCTGGTGCGCTTGCAGATAGCCCGAGGAGATGAGGAGGCGACACAGATACTCACTCCACTCCGCCCCGTCCTCCTCGTGGAGTATTAGCACCTGGAAACCTGTGCGGCGGGGAAGCGGTCACGAGAGAAGCAGTGCAGAAGAAGCGGCAGCAGAGAACGCAGTGGGCAGCAGTTTCCCAACTCCAGCCCTGTCCACACTTAAAAAGCCCAACTTTAGCAGAATTCAAAATCGTCGTTTGCACGATTATGCACTTCGTCTTATACAACATATGACAAAAATACTCAGTTGCCTAATACACTTTGGCTTAGCCCACTTGTTTGGTTGCATCATCATCATCACCATCATCACAGTCCATGGGCATATAGCCCGTAGATGTCCATTGCACATTTCGTCATTTGTTTCCACTTTCCTCTGTCTTGTGCAAATATGCTCTAGTGCCACATCTTTCTGGTACCATTCCCTTATGTCAAGTAATTCTCTGTTAGGTCTTCCTCTCTTTCCGGTTCTTTCCATTCTTCTGAACAACATGCTTTTATTTTTTCTGTTGTTGTCCATCCTACAGATGTGTTCAAATAGTGCCAGTTTCCTCCTCATCATTGCCTTTATCATGTCACTTTTTGGGTGCAGTTTAAATGCAGTATCCTTCTGTAGAAATATCGAGTGCCAATATCTTTTATCTGTCAGTCGTTTTCAATGTCCAAGTCTCGCAGGCATACAAAGCTGTACTGAACACGCATGCTCTCACGATGTTCAGATTGGTCTAATAGCTGATTTTATTGCTTCTCTAGATGCTATTGAAACCCGCCATTACTTATTTTTCCTTTGAGATCCTCGCTCTTATGTCTTTCGTGCAACCATTGTCCCATGTCAGTAGACTTCCCAAATATACAAATTCCTTATATGCACACTCTTGCTGCTTCCTATTCTTTACTTCATTCTGAACGTCCTCCCTTCCGAACACCATTCTCTTTACTCTTTGGTTCTTTCGGTAAAGTCACGTAGAAAGAAAATAAAAGAAAATAGAATAACTAATATTAGTTATTTTATTTTCTTTATTAGTATTTTCTTTCTATGTGACTTTACCGAAAGAACCAAAGAGTAATTCCTGCAGTCACCAAAGCTTCAAATCAAGCTTGAACCATTATCTTTGTCTTTTTCACGTTAATCCTCAATCCTGCATCCTTTCCTGACTAGTCAGCATAGTAAACACTTTCCTGCAGTACTAGGCAGCTTTCTTCCATTAGATCTATGTCATCCGCGAATCTCAGGTTATTTTTTTTCCTTGCACAGATATTGCTGTGCCGTTGTCATGAATGGCATCCATCACTCTTTCTGTTTGGGTTGCATTATCTTCAATATTCTCCGGGTTTATACTTTTCAGCAGTTGACAAATTCGTGTTAATGCTATAAGTTATTCAGTATACAAAGTTTCAATATACGAAGCTCTAGGAAAGCATCTACTTCGTATATTGAGGTATAACGGTATATAGTTGTGTGTAAATGAGCAGCGTTTATGGATTTTTCTTTATGCCCTTGACTAGGGCCCATATTGGGCTACAGAGCTCACTGAGTTGTGACCCCCGGTGAAGGACGTGTTGGGTTCAAGGAGATACTGAGATATGCGCTACTTTCAGAAATCACAATGCATCAGATGATAGTCGTAATAATGATTGACTGAAAACCCGAAACTATAACAGCAGCCAATTAGAATGCATACTTGTAAACGGTTTACCCGTATTCTTGTACAAGTCGGGCATATTATTTATTTTTATATTTGTGTTTCTCCGTTGCGATTGGACTTTCTAGCACGAACGTTGAGATTTATAAGGGCACGGGGTGACCAATAAGGTCTGAATTGCTTTGTAATTAGGTAGGCACTGATAAGGGGTTGACAGGTACGTGAAAGGGGCTGAAATTGGAAAACATTTAGCATCAAGTCAAGTCAAATGTTTTATATATACGTGGCGCCTTTCTGGAAAAAAAAAATCTGCCACTGTGTGTGGTCTTGGTGTGGTCTGGGACTATTGTTTTTGCTGTTTTGCTGCCTTGCCCCAAGTTTGCATTTGGTGTGGACAAATCGGCAGGAATTTATGAATTTGTGCAAATTGTACTTCTCTCCAGTACTTTATATTTATTTATTGCGACTTGCTTATATTGTCTCTATCTTGCTCTTATATCGTTGTTTTGTATTGTTTGTTGATTTAACTCGTTGACCCACCGCTACTGGACATGTGAAAAAGAGCTTCATAGCTCATCGGATTCCTCCGGTCTAAATTTAAATTCTAATTCTCATATACTATCACAGCGTTCGACAGTATAAATACTTAAATCGAAGCAAAGTAACTTTAATGGATACAGACACCCAATGGCGGAGCCAGGATTTTCAAGTAGGGGGGGCAACCCTTCCAGCAATGAAAAGTGATAGAGGAGTTGTTACTAAGGACTTGTCTCTTGCTTTTTATTCGACGCGTGTGCGGCGATGGCACAAGCCATCGATCGCGGGTTTTTGAACCGCGTTGTGTGATCGGCATCGCGCTCGCTGAAAGCCTTCAGGGAAGTCGTGGATTGTCTACGCGACTGCGCACAATTCTGTGAGTCACTTATAACTGCTTTTCCGCTACTTATTGGCAATTATGGACTCAGACTATTGTCCTATCATCTCAGAGTCCCTGGCACGTAATAATATGCTACACAGTGGCAGTGGGGGTCGCAAAATGCCGATTTATTACGAATAACCCCCAATGATACGATAGAAATTAGATTTCGATCGGATAATTGGGGGGGCACGTGCCACCCCCCACCCCCCCCCGCAAAGATACCCGAGATATGAGAACCCCACCATGGCAACTGGAGCAGCATCTTTAAACGTGGACTGTCAATCACTTGATCAGTAAATAAAAATACTCGACGATGGACGACATCTGAAGCAGCTGTAAAGACCTGCATCCCCCTTACACGTAGCTCAATAGCACGACGTGGTGAAACGAATGCACGTTGACCAACGGAGAGTGATTCATTTAGCACTTACAATAATGATGGAAACATGTAGGCCATGGAATGCTGGAAAGGTGGTCAGAGATGGTAAAATTGATAAACGTACATTTAACAAATTGTTCCAAAACACCGACTGCTGAATGCGATATAGATTTTTTTTAACGGTGCATCGACCAATCGTTCGCCGACATTACAATATAACATTAAAAATTGAGGTAACTTACCTGAATGTTCACTTGGGTCCATTTTCGTAACTACAGGAGCAATATATGGGATGTTTTCCACTCTGCCGGAAGGGGAATGACGTTGCCACTGAAACAGATGGCAATGTTGCTGGCTGCCCTCTGAAAAAAATAATTCCCACTGCCAAACCCGATGGTCACTCCAGTCTCACAGCGTCCTGATCAGCTTCGCTTGTTTACTGCCCGATTAAAATGTGAACTGGATTCATCATCATTGTCACAGCGGACGGGCGGGGCAATGCGTGTGGCTAGAGGCGAGCTCGTGTGGCCAGCCCGCAGAGCCGTCCCTCATAGAGTGAGACGAGCCGCGCCGAGAGGCACTGTAACACGGCACTTCCCCATTCGATGCAATTCGAGGAACACATTTGGCCATTTTACAGCAAAGCAGCAAACGCTTGCATGATAACCTGCTGACACTTCCCGTTGCACAAACCCACACACGACATCGGACTAACAGGCGACCACAATTGCGGCACCCAAATGTCAACGGACACTGAAGGCACCGACACATTATGAGCACTCAATTTAAGACTTTGGCTGTTAAGTTTGTGTGTGTGTGTTGTTTGCTGGCATAGAGGTTAGCCGCCCTGCGCTACGAACCTGGCGACCAGAGTTCGATTCGCGCTCACGGCCAACACTAGTGACGATTATCTGAACTTCGCCACTGGGGAGACAAAGGCGGTCGCGCGTGGTGTTGGCCACCTACCCCCTCGTGTACCGTTCCAGCCTTCATTGGTGCTCACTAACAGCACTTGCCCCAGGAGTCTGTCTTTGTGCTGCTTGCATTTGTGAAAACGTCTAAGCCACAAAATGTAATCATTAGCCATGATCCACTGCCGCATGAAAGACTCCCGAGTCGTTGACATCGTAGTCCTGATCGTTTCAGCTTTGGTGCAGGCCCGGTGATTTGGTCACAGACACAAGTGCATGCGGATAATAATCACCTTCATAACGCACACCTTGCATGAGTCCAGCATGCCCCCACAGCTTGCTCACGCTTCACATATCCATTCCACTGCGCGTTACCAAATACTACTCCGCTCAAAAACACAAGGAGCCATTGAAAAGTGACTGAAAACTGCACGTGGACGGGCGTACATTACCAACATTGCAACGGATGGTGCTTTCAGTGGCGCAATTTCGACAGAGGCAGCCATCCCGTGAGGCATGCTGCTGGTGTGAGCCCACGGATTACCGTAAACAACAGGGCTTTGGAGTGGTTGCACACCTTCACTGGAAGCAAATTGCAGTCGTCCCAGAAGTAGCCACGTTCACGTTTGTCTATAAATAATCCAGAGGCTGCATTTAAATAGGCTGTGGTTTCCGCAGAATTACTACAGTAATACCCTTGTCAAGTTGATTTTCCAGAACCCACCGATTCACTAACACCGGTGATCAGTCACCTCATCACTCTTCTGCCACTACTACCATGGTTGCCATGAACTTCATTCTTCAATTCCACCACCTGTGTTAAGGACTCAGTCTGCCAGTCTGTTTTTATCTCAACCACACACAGTTTAACAACCACACTGCAGGTCACAACACTTCTCTTTCTGGTTCCCTCCTCTCATTTTCCCCCTCCAAGCTCCTTTAACCTTGCTCATTTCAAGAAACAGGTCGATTTTTTGTATCTTCAACGGGGGCCCGGGGCTGCTGGCTCTGGGTACTGAACCACCATGGCCCAAGTTGAGTGCGAGAGGCAGCCGCTGGCACATGAGACTCACGGGCCTCCCAAGGATTTACACTCCCAGACCCACGAGGCCAACCCTGTGGTTGGACGCCGACAACTCTGACAGTGTTGTTTGTTACTGGCCGCTTGGCGTTTTTGACCTGTGCTCGGCAATTGTTTAAAATAACACTGACAAACGAGTGCATTGGCACCTCCAATTTAACAGTTCGCCAAGTATGGCGCGAAATCAGTTCAACATGTGTGACACTGTGAATGGTAGGCACCACGGTCTGCATGCGTTGCGCTGGGTTTGTGCGCGTGTATGGGGCCACAGCCTCAAACTCTCCTCGCCCCGGAGCCACATTTACACCAAACGCAGGTGCGATACCACACTGAGACAGTCATTAGCGGTGTGGCCATTACGGGTAAAGTGATGAACCTCTGGTTTATACACCAAGACAGGATTGTCTGGAGATATTCTATGAATTTCCCAACAAGATATCCACCAGATACTACCGTGAAGGGAGCTACAGCGTAGGTAGGGGATACAGTACAATGCAGAAGTCTGTGATAAATTTGAAGCGGTTTACAGTGCTGAACTAGTGGTTAAATTTCACGTTCCTTTGGCGGGGACGATTCTATCCAAAGGACAACTTTACTTCCCCACGAAGTCGTACATATTTTAATGACCACAGTGATCACGACCTGAATCAGCCAATGTGGATTTAGATAGCGTGTAAAGGGTGCAGCGCTAAATAACACACAACCGTCAAAGAAAACCCTCCCAACTCACCAACAATACTGTCATAGTTTATTATCTAAAGAACCTTCCACACAAAGTCTCAACAACCATCACAAACCGTACTGCACACACACACAGTATTGATGAAAGACAGACATTTTGATCGCGCTCGAAAAATGGAAGGAGAGTGGGAGTGCACACCAAAAGTGGGCCAGGTTTGTTTAATGTATCCGGTAAAAGTAGATCCCTAAGAACAACCCACAGAGGACAGGCAACTACAGCACTGGCGACACAGGGGAGGAAACCGTTGCAGAGTGAGCGCTGGGGTGCGTGCAACTCTAGCCGAGCCCGATGTTCCCCGAGTAGGTTGTGAGGAGCAGCATGATTGAGAAGCCCGTGAGAAGGCCAAGGTTCTGAATTCCGAAGGTGACGAGGTTATTCTTCTCCTCCCCGTCCTCTTTGCTCACCTCGTTCATTTCTGGGAACTGGGTTCATGGTGCGATACACGTTCACAAGCACGCGCTCGGGTCAGCAACGCGGCGACGCAACGCAGCCGCCAGCAATGCACACGCCACGCAGGGTGACTGGTTACAGGCGCACCTAATGGGGTTGACTGTTTGAAGGATAACAAGGGGCAAGTTACCACAAAACAGATTTTTGAAATTGTTACAATGATAGTACTTTCCTTTTTTTAGTACTTTCCATTCGTGCTAATAGCATCTCATAACGCTGTACATTAAATATATGACGACCAATTCCATATACAGCCACTACCAAGCAAATGAAAACCCTACTATCAAGCAAAATTTTAAGTATATAAATAAGTTAATAAATGGCACCAAAACAAAAAGCAAAAACATCAAACAAGTTATTACAACAAAGACTTGCATGAGGTCCGCACATCCCAGACCACAATCCCAACTTCCCAACTAAGCCAGGAAACCTTCACAGGAAGGGCAGTGGAGTGCCTCTTGTGCTTACAAATCAATAATTAGATACTTCTGATGGTAAACCAGTGTTGGAAAGCTTGACAACAACCATGCGTGTTCGCGATTGTTCTCCCTTGTTTGTAAAGAGCCTTCGCTCTTCTGAAAACCAAGACGCATTCTCTCGAGCAAAAGCAACAGATTTCCTGTGGGCACGCACCATGTCAGCCAGGGAGATGTAGAGAAACATGCCTCCTGCCAGTGCAAATATCCAATTGTGGGCAAAGTGACTTCCGGCCACGATGCCGCACACAAGCCCCAAGTAGCAGCTGCACGCCGACAGGAAGTTGAAGAATAGTGCTTGCTGTATGCTCATTCCGGCGTTCAGCAGAATCACAAAGTCACCTGTGATGGCAGACACACCGCCAAAATACCCAATTAACACGTGCACACAGAACTACAGTGAAACGATTGTGCATTTTTAAATCGTGATGGATGAGCACGGGACCAAAATCCCAAAACAGCCAGTGGCCAGCAACAAACAGCACTCTTAAAGTTGTAATATACAAGAGTGAAATGCTACTTGAATTGAGCTTGGCAAAGTAGATGATCGTGATGGGAGGGAATTCTGCAGTGGAGCAGCGCAAGGGGAAAAGAAGTGTTGCGATTTGATATGACGGCAAACACAAAGTTAATGAACACTATTTTTTTGCGCATGCAATGCAAATGAGTAATGCAAGTTGAATAACATTTCTGCTTTACTTTAATGCTTCAATTGTAGTCTCTTCGTCTCAAAGGAAAAATCTAAAGTGTTGATGCTGGGATGTTAAACGTACAGTATGCGCAAACTTTTAAAATGTTGCTTTTTAACAGTAAACCTCAGAACGGAACATGTCCCAGAGGAAGTCCACCGCAGAGATGGAGCGATTAAATCAGTGTGCAGGTGCTGGAGTATATTGCCACATGTGAGAGGTGGTGACGAGTTGGGAAGGCCTGCATCCGGCAGTGGTTTGACCCTGGCTGATGATGGCGAAAAGTATGTGATTCTGCAAATTTATGTAACCGAGGACAAAATGGCCGCTGCTCCACCATTGTGGCAGCTCTTCGAGCCACGACGCCCACACCCCCTACAACTGCTTCCTCCCCAGGCATCTCCAGCTGGGCGACCCCTCTCTCTCTGCTTTCAAGTCTCTCCTCAAAGCCTTCCTCTCCTCTTCACCCCCCGTGCCTTCAGACCTCCTCGGTTGCTGCTTCTCTTCCCTTGCTCAGTCTCCCTTGCTTGTTCCCATTACCCAATTTGTGTTTCCGCGCCCCCTCAGACGTTTGTTACATTACGGGCACGTTTTACGCAGACATTCATGTCGTAATTACATGATAATTTCCACTTGTAACGAGCCACACGATATTCACTCACTCTCGTGGAGAGAGAACGACTCGGTTGCACAAGGAACCACAGACAGGTGGGAAGGTAACCACGCGGTGAGCTGGCGATATCACTTGCCGGTCTGCTATATATTATGGTGTTATCGGTCAATTAGTGAGTGTTTACACGTGGGAGGAAACCGGAGCACCCAGAGAAAACCCACGCATGTGAGATGAAAACACACTATCCCGTACAGATGGAACTGGTGCAGTCTACATTTTTTCTGTACTGTTTTCTCCTGGCGAGCCAGGGTACGGCACCTCTGACGCCCACGGGAAGGGAATTTCACAAAATTTGTGCGATCTACCAACCCTCGCTGCATCCACAAGTGCTGGACTAAAGGGTACGTGCATAGCCACCATTGCCCAGCTACATGTAACGTTTAAATTATCTTGATGGCTCCTAAGAACAATACATCTCCACGAGTGCACGGGCGTCAAGGCAGTACACATGGAAAGGCAGAAGCATGGGACTCACCCAGTTCGTGCGGGAATTCCTCGCATAGGATGGCGATGGACGTGCTAATGCCTTGGAACACGGACACCGTGAACGAGGCTCCGATCGCCAAACCGTCGATGAAGTTGTGCAGCCCATCGCTCAGGGTGATCATCCACGCCAGCGTGCCGATGCGCGAGTAGCGTGTCCCTTTGAGCCAGTAGCACATGCCCTCCGACACCTGCGCCTCCTGCAGAACATGGGATTTCGCGATTCACCGATCCGATCTGATAGCAGCGTTAATAATAGCCTACGTGACATCAGAATCAGAGTCGTTATGTAGACTCGAAGAATCTGATGAGCTATGAAGCTCATTTTAACATGTCCAGTCAGGGCGGGTCAGAAAGTTACAACAACAAATAATGCAAAAACAGATATGAGTGCAAAGTATAGGAAAGCTAAGTCAGTCAGTATATACAAATAAATAAGGTACAAATTGCATCAATTCCTGCCAATATTTAAATACCAAATGCAATCTTTGGCAAGGCAGCAAAAACAAAACAGTCCCAGACCACACCAAGACAACACATTCAAATCTAACAATCGATAAATGGGTAAAGATCAAAGTTGCAGATCACATCTCTTAAAGTCTCTCTTCACAATGTAAGCCAGAAAACTGAAAAAACCAAAACATACGCAATACGTTAACAGTACAGTGCAAGCTCTTGTGTGCAGCGGTTTATAGACCAATAGGGTCATGAGCGAGATAATTCATGGATAAGTGGAATTTAACGTTGAGTGTCTGATGATGTATTTACTGCATTACACAAATCACAATAAGCTTCCAGTAAAAAAATATTACGTAAATTTATAACTGTTAAGCTTTTTTACCCAGGAAATCTTCAGTCGATTCTCTTGCCAGAGGGGTCCTGCCAAGTTTACACCAGTAGGGGGCGACGCTTGCTACGTCTTTCCCAATCAAGTAATTAAAAAGTAATGTTTAAAATTTGGCAAACTTGAACCATGACGCCAGCACACAGGGGGGCCTACGATTTTCGAATTACGTCATGGGGCCATTAGCGTCCTCCGTGAAGCGGACGACGCATGCACCTTACGCCCCGATTCCGCAACAATAACCGGGGCGGCCGCCCGGGCTCGAACCCCGAGCCTCTGCAACGAGCGGAGAGAGCGCGCAGCCGCTTGGCCCGGTCGTGTATAAACGTGCGGCCGCGTACCTGCACGGAAAGGGAGCGGCTCAGCATGACCTCGTTGGCGTGCTCGTGGGTGACGTGCGTGTGATGCCCATGGCCTCCCCCCGCAAGGTGGGGGGGGTTCCCGTTGGACTGGTGCTCCGTCCCATCCTCGATCGCCTTCAGAGTCTCGGTTGCACCGTCCTCGAGGTCTGGCTGGCTGCTGTAGCACTCGGCTCGGTTAGGCGGCCTCTGAAGAATCCGCAAGGTTCACAAATCGAACAAGTCAAAGTGAGTTTGTGCTCAAGTGAGCACTGAAACGGTGCTCGTCTCCTGTTTACAACCCTGAGCCAGTGGTGGAAATTCTGCAATCCTATGGTGGGGGTGAGTCCATTCATAGGACAACCAATCTTAACTTCCCCACAAAGTGGTGCTCACGTCATCGACCCCAGCATGAATGATAGGCTGAGTCAACCCCGAATGATGAGTTGAATTCCCAACCTTCCGATTACGATCGACTCACTCTACCACGGAGCCCCCTGGCCGGACTCAATATTTACACATCGTCCCCTCGTCAGCAAAATATTTGTTAAAAATGTATTTTTAATGTTATTTTTCTTTACCTTTGTTGTGTTTATTAGTTAATGAAAATTATCATAAGAGATACGACTTGGTGGTGTGTGTATTACACACGCAGAACGGTGACGTCTCGTGACATGCAAGGCATGAAGGGGGGACCAATCCTGTGGCCACAATCGTGCCTTTTGCCATCAGCTTGTGCACATATCACTGATGTGGGACGTGTCAGCTTGCTGCAGAGAGCCTGGGGCCTATCATAGGAGCCTGGAAGCTCTGCCACTCCCCTCAGGGTGACCGATCGGCATAGGATAGGCTCCACGCTCGAATGAGAAGGCGAGGACGTTCACCTTTGTGGAAAATCTTTAGGATAATGTATTAGTTTACTTTAATAGAATGGACAGAGGTGGTGAAAGCTTGGGGAGGCCTTCATCCAGCAGTAGCTTGATCACGGCTGACGATAAGTGCACGAGGAGCAGGTGGTGGTGTGGTATGGTTGGATTTGCATCGCTGAGCCAGGCCCACTCGGAGTTTCCCATTTTTTGAGCGAGAAGCTAAAAAAAACACATTAAAATTTAGATTTTTTTGGGACCGAGAGTATTTCCACTTTTTCTGTCTTAGACGCTGGCATGGTCAATGCAAATTCCTCTCCTGCTTTGCTCTTTAGTTCTCATGCATAAATCTTAACAATCCACATACTGCACGTTTTTTAAAAGCAAGCCCTTTTTTGAAAATACATAGGCGAAGAGCGTCACACAAAGGTTTTCACTCAAGGTACTCAAGGTAGACGTTACCTCGTCTTTCTGCTTCAGCACCATCTTGAGAATCTTCTCGGCGAAGAAGAAGAGATAGAAGCCAGCAAACACAACCGCCGACTTGTAGACATAGCCATCCTTGACTGGGTCCAGCCCAAAAGCCTGAACGCACACGCCAATTACGGTCACCAGAGGGACAATCGTCAACCGCCCCAAGCAACAGCACAAGGCAGTTTAACCCCACACAGATTACAATTCGAGTCCATGACGCAACAAGAGTGTGAAATGCCTGCCACCACAGCGAAGAAGGAAAATAATGAGATGAAACTAAACGACAATGTCCCTCTCAACCGATCTTTTTTCATTTATGACCTCTGCTTGTGACGGTTTGGATGACTGCACCATTTTCCACGGGAGATAAATGCCCTTCACATGGTCTACAACAGAGGCTGGGCACAGTGATTCGTGAAATTCATCGGCCTCTTCTGGAATCTTCAGAGTGGCTGCACGTGATCGATGGCAGCAGAAAACCCCTCAACCCTACCTTCTCCCATGGTTGGGCAATATAATACAAATCTAAATAACCCAGCCATAAATATAAAAGCATAAAATATAAAAATTATATGCAGCCACGAATTAATTTAACGTTCTTACCCGTCTCTGCTGGACATCTGTGAAAACATGCTTCATAGCTCATCGGATTCCTCCAGTACGAATACATATTTTGATTCTGAATAGTATAAGTTTGATGTTTTAACATCTTAACACCTGTTTTGTTGCCAGAAAAACCTATTATCATATTTTGGTACGGGCAAAGGAGGTCCCATGATCAGAATAGTTACTTAAACAATGAATCAGAGGAATGAAAGATGTTGGGAGAGGGAACATGTGTAGCTGCAAAGTGAAAAACTACCCATTTTTACGCAACATGCAATTCAGCCATTATTCAAGTGTTGTGACATCTCAACTACGTTCCCCCAGAGGGTCGGGAGACGTGGGCGGTCTGGACGATGTCTGCCGCAGGAAGCCGTGCGACCTGCGCACGTTTCGTAAGGTCGGAGCGGTGACGCGGTTTAGCACAGCCTGGGGGGAATTCTCCACCCATAGAGGGATTCATGATTTAGGCAACTCCGACTGCGCCACAATCCACACAACACTGCACTATCTCGTACTCGTGCACATGCCGTTCCTCATCCTCGCATACGAGTTCCAATGTCATTTCGGGTAATTACCTGTGTGTGTGTGTATCCTGTACGTGGGGGGGGGGGGGGGGGGGGGGGGGGGGGGGCGGTGGCGCAGTGGTTAGCGTGCTGCGCAAGGAACCCGGCGACCCGGGTTCGATTCACGCTCTCGGTCAACAACATTGATGATGATCTGAACCGGTCCTGTGTCTCCCCTTGGTCGACTCAGCCTCAAATGAGTAACTGGTGTGGTGTATAAACATCGCCACTAGGGAGACAAAGGCGGTCACCCACCCCCTCGTGTGCCGTACTGGTCTGCTTACAGCACTTGCCCTAACAGTCTGTTATGATTATTAAATATAACATCCTGGGACGGCGTCTGAATGTTGGTCAAGATCAATCGTTGAGAACATCAACAGGGTCCTTCCAGATGATTTTTTTTTACACTAGCATTTGTTTCGACATTACAAACCCACACCGAGTCTCGGCTGTTTGCGTTTCACCAGCAGCAAAGCCAATAAACTATCGCTCCTAGGCAGCAACTGATGCTGTTGCCAAGTCATCCACGATCACCGCAGCTGGCAAGTTACATTCAGCAGGGGGCAGCACGGACGTAGAAATGCATCACTCGCTTCCTCCACCAGCGGCAGTGATGTAGGTTAACAAACCGGTAAGGGAGTCGGTTTCAATTGCAAAATAGACATCCTTGTGAAAATCTTTACCCCTCCGCTGCAGTAGATGGACAGAGAATATGGAGTCTGTGTGTGAAAGTGCCTGAGCCACAAACTACTCCTCAGCGTGCCTAGCAAGGCGATAATGGATCATACTTGCAAGTACTGTACACTTGCCAGCACGATGAGGAGGGAGCTGACCTGGCAAGTTTCTACACGCTGAGGAAAATGCCTGCGGAACCTTGTGTGGTCGAACGGAGACCATACAAGGCATCCTTTCAAACATGTGGAACCCGCAAGTGGTCCGAGTCGTTACAAAAATGCCACCATGCAAAGCAGCCTGCACACAATCGCCACCGTCTCAGAAATTTGCTTGTAAGGCCATCCCTGCTCGGAACTTCTCCTGGTCTCAGGCTACGGATCACTTCTCACACCTCCTCAGCCGATATCACCACAGGCAACCACTCAAAGTGGGATGGCTACTTCCTCCACACTATGCTCTGAATCTGGCTACCAGAGTTCAATTCCCGGCCACAGCTAACACGAGTGGCGAGTGGTCGGTGAGAACATGTCCTGGCCCCCACCTCCTTCACTAACATGCACTGCCCAGCATGGTAAAGGATGGTCAAACAACCTCCACACTGACAGTGGGGAAGCCTTCCTGCCGCAGTGGATTTAGAGGGCTTTCCATTGTTAATAATTTACGTGTGTTGGAGATACAAACCCTAACCCTGAATAATATTACGGCAAAATAAGAGTATCGCACCGCTGCCATCACTAGACTATGTAAAATTTATCAAATGAGCCGGAAGACATCGATCGTGATCTAGCATCACCTAACAATAAAAAAACTGACGTTGCACTTTTAAGGTCACCATAACTGCATGTTTTTTTGGCATTCATCAGCAGAAGAATGCATGCAGTGTGCACCCGGGGCCTGTACTGCAATCGGCTGCCCATGCGGGTGGGCGGCCGCACGCATGCACGGATGCGTGACAATTGTGTCGCGATGTGCAAAGTCACCACGATTCTGTCTGCCCAACCCCAACAACGCTCCCCAATCACTACAGCACACACCGTCCTCCTCCTCCCTTGCCACCAGGAGCACAATTCTACCGTGCGGATGTTCTTCTACCACTGCCATAGTCACGTTGAGAGTCGATCACTAGACACGGGCTCGCGTTCGCCATTTCGATGCAGATTTTAAACCGGCATCTCAGATTAATTCGACTTGAAAAGCGCAGAGCAAAGTGCAGAGCGGAATAATTTCCATCGACATGTCGTGGGGTCACCAAGTTACTGCAGTCCTTTGCAAATGAGAAAACAATTGTTGGTTTTTGTTAGCTATTATGTGTTCTAATAAAGTGATTTGTATGCCTTTGTGAAGGCATCCAGGATGCACTACAGGTCTTCTTCCGAGTGGACAGTGATGGCATTGTCATCTGCATACTGGAGCTCCATGATGGAAATGGTGGAGAGCTTTCTCTTTGTCTTGAATCTGTTGAGGTTGAAGAAACTGCCGTCTGTTCTGTACAGGATTTGGACTCCCTCAGGCAGATTTTGGCCTGTGAGGTGGAGGATGGCAGCAATGATTTCAAGTTTAATTTATTCCCTGTGAGCCATGCGGCTCTTAAGTCGGGTGGGCGCAATGATGCAGCCCTGTTTAACCCTGGTTTCCACCAAGGATTCCGTTTCAACACTACTGTAAATGAGCTCTTTTGATGACATGATATCATGCAGCAGTCACAGTACCCTAGTGAATGTCAGGGCAGCCGATTTTTGACAGAACAGAATCAGCCAGAGGGCATGACAGTTAAGAGTCAAAGGCTATTGTAAGGTCTATAAAGGCCATGTAAAGTGGTTGCTTTTGTTTTCCGCATTTCTCTTGCAGTTGTCATACTGTGAAAATCATGTCTGTTGTGTCGCTGGATGGGCGAAAGTCACACTGATTCTAGGAGGATTTCTTCTGACAGGGGTAGGAGTTGGTTTGCTAATATATCACTATGTAACACGATTTTTGTTCCTGGGTAGTAAGTGTTATTTTCTAATTGCTTATTCCTCAAAAGTATAGAAAATGGCTATTATCCCCACAAACTTTGCTTTTGTGACCAGGACTTTATGTGAAGAAATGACACAAATGCACACCACGTTTTCTCATTGAAAATAGGTAAATTTAAAAATATCATTGTCCTGGTCACAAAACCAAAGCTTGTGGGGAATAATATCCATTTTCTGTACTTTTGAGGCATAAGCAATTGGGATATAACACTTATTACCCAGGAACAAAAAATATATAAATTTGTAATACACTGTTATTAAAGGATTGGATTAATAACTTTGCTTTTGTGTCCTGGTCACAAAAGCCACGTTTGTGGGGAATAATAGCCATTTTTTGTACTTTTGAGGCATAAGCAATTTGAAAATAACACTTACTAGCCAGGAAAAAAATGTTTTGTTACACAGTAAATATTTTCCCGGTGATAGGCAGGAGGGAGATGCCTCTGTAGTTCCCACAATCAGCCTTGTCCCCCTTTTTAAAGATTGTGACAATCAGGGCATCCCTGAGTTGTGGGGATTTCCTTCTTGTGCTGAATCTTCAAGAGCAGATCATGTACAGAAACGAGAAAGTGTTAACCGCAATTATAATTATGGAAATTCCATAGTTTTACCATGATAGCCTTCTGTAATAAAAAAAAACCGGCCTTTTCTTAAAAATCCAATAGGGTTTATATTAACCAATTCCATGTCTTTTGAAACAAAATGATATATGAATGAAACATGAGTAATTAAGGATCAGGGTATGTGAAAAAGTAAATGAACCCCTAGTTTCATATCTCAATTACGGGAATAATTAGAATCAGGTGTTTCAATAATTAAGTTCTTCAGGGGTGAGTTCGAGAGGCCCCACCCATATAAAGATGAGGAACAATGCAAGTTTGGTCTTCATCATAAAGTGTGCGGGAACCAGTCATGCCATGATAAAACTAAATCTCTGAGGACCTCAGAAAATCCACTGTCAGACAGATAGTCTACAAATGGAGAAAGTTTAAGACCACAGACACTGCCCAGGAGCGGTCGTCCGACCAAAATATTTCCAAGAACCAACTGGATAATCATCAAGGAAGTCACAAAGAACCCCAAAGACACACCCAAAGATCTGCAGGCCACTCTCACCTTGATTACTGTGAGTGTTCATGACTCAACTATCAGAAAAAGACTCGTAAAGAATGGTGTTCATGGAAGGATAGCAAACAAAACCACTGATCTCCAAAAAGACCATTGCTGCCCGTCTAAAGTTCCCAAAAGAGTACATACGTGATCCACAAGACTCTTGGAACAATGTTCTCTGGACAGACGAGTCCAAGGTAGACCTTTTTGGCCTCTGAGAAATGTTACGTTTGGCAAAAACCAAACACTGCTTTCGAACAGAAGAACCTCATCCCAACTGTCAAGTGTGGTGGGAATGTGATGGTTTGGGGCTGCTTTGCTGCCTCAGAACCTGTATGGCTTGCCATCATTGACCACTATGAATTCTGCATTGTATCAGAAGATTATAGGGGAGCATGTCAGGCCATCCGTCCGTGAGCTGAAGCTAAAGCAGAGGTGGGTCTTTCAGCAAAACAATGATCCTAAACATACAAGCAGATCTACAAAAGAATGGCTGCAGAATAAATTCTGCGATTTACAATGGCCTAGTCTAATTACAAGCCTAAACCCCATCGAAATGTTGTGGCAGAACCTGAAGCGAGCTGTCCATTCAAGGAAACCCTCAAATATCACCGATTTGAAGGAGTTCTGCAAGGAGCAATGGGCCAAAATTCCTCAAATCCGATGTGAGAGACTGACCAATGGTTACAGGAAATGCTTAGTTGCAGTCACTACTGCTCTAGGGGGTGTCACCAGTTACTGAATCTACAGGTTCACGTACTTTTTGACACATGGTTATTGAATGTAGGAATCATGAGGAAAATTATATGTTTAAAGAGTATCATGTTTTCGTGTCATTTGTTTAATCAGGTTATCTTTATCTATTATTATGACTTAGATTACGATATAATAACATTTTAGGTATGATATATGTAAAATGTGAAAATCCTAAGGGGTTCACAAACTTTTCCTTGGCACTGTATGTGGTGTAAGAGCTCTGACCCGCCTTCCTTTAAGATTTCCACTGGAATCCCATCTGGACCAGCGGCCTTGTTATTTATCATCTTCTTCCATGTCCTCCTTTACGAGTCGCTGAGGAATTTGGTCAATGACCTCCATATCAGTGTTCTCTCCACTGAAATTTGATTCATTCACGATCCTTCAGCAGCTTTTTTCCATCATTGGAGCTAAAGGGGTTTAGGCCACGGTAACTGGGTCTGTATGCTGCCTTGGCGGCGTCAAAGACGCCTCTGGTATTGCCAGAGTCTGCCAGCTGTTGGTTCTCTGGGGCTCTCCCTGTCCACCATTTTGCTTTTGAGTTCCCACACCCGGCGTTGGACATCCACCTTCAATCTGGTGTAAGTCTTTCTTTTGGCCTTGCAGTTTATGTCATTCTGCCAGGCATAAAAGGTTCTTCATTTTGTGCCGATGAGCTGTTCGATTTCAGTGTCACTCATCAAACCAGTCCTTGTGCTTTTGATCTTATAGCCAATTGTATTCTTGCAGGTGTTGAGGATGGTGGACTTGAGTATGCTCCAGTGTGTTTTGATGTGATCAGGATATTCTTGGGGAGTTCTTCACCAAGAACAGTCTAGAGGTGTTGTATTCTTGGTTCTTTCAGTGGAAGTGTTGTAGTTTGCTGGTATCACTCAGACTCTCGATATTAACTATTGGCTGGCTAAATCTTTTTTGAACCCTCTTTTTTTGCATCAGCCTAATGGACATAATGGAGCGGATGAGGTGATGGTCTGTCCACCAGTCGTCTGAACTTGTCATCGCTCTTGTGATGTTCACATCATGACAATCCTTAGCTCGGACAATGACAGTCCATGAGATGCCAGAGTTTGGAGCGGGGATGCATGCATGATGTTTAGAATTTGTTGTTCTGATGGAAAAGTCGTGTTGATGACGATGAGGTCAAGTTACGCACATTTGGTTAGTAGTAGAACTCCATTTGAGTTGATATTGTCCACACCTCCCTTTCCAATCGTGCCCCTCCAAAGGTTGTGGTCCCAGCCAACCCTGGAATTAAAATCCCCAAGAAGAATGATCTTGTCTTCCTTAGGAATACATTAGAGTATTATGGCCAAGTTAGCATCGAAGGTATCCTTTACTTCTTCCTGTGAGTCCAGAGTTGGGGCATAGGCACTCACAACTGTGGCCATTTGGTTGTTTGTAAGCTGCAGACGAATGGTCAGGAGGTCTTCACTGATGCCCACAAGGAGTTCAGAGAGGTGGCTGATGAGCCTGTTCTTAAAAGTAAAACCAACTCCATGGTTCCTGGGTTCATCAGCTCGTTTAACTTTCAGGAAGGTGTAGCTGCCTTTCTCCTTCAGAAATGCCAGTCGGGTTTCGGAGAGCGCAGCAAGATCATGAAGATCACAGTTAATTTCACAGGTTTATCACTTGTTGCACTGTCCATCCGGGATCACACGTTATAGGCTCCAAAATTATTTTTTCTTTGTTTCCGACCGCAAAGAGGTGATCCCACTGGATGCGCTAATCCAGTCAAGAGTTATGAGGCAGGCTATTTTTAGGGCACCTTTTCTAGCCCCTTCCCATACTGGGGTGAGCAGAGCGGTTCCTAAAAAGGGCTGCTCAGTCATGGGTGCAGCTGACAAAAAGCTCTATCTGCCTCTGTCCACGAGCAAGACGACGGACTCAAACACCCACCAGTTGTGTGCTAGTTCCTGGCTATGAGCTAAAAGACTATCACTATCTGCTCACGTCACCAATTCGCTGATCACCACAGGACTTTGATCTGGGATGTGTAAGAGTCCCTTTCAGAAGGATGTCTGCACATGCGATCTTTTACCATGGGGTGACTGATGCACAAGCAGCTACCATACGGTCCTTGGCAGAGAGGGATCAGGATCCAATGGCATGGAGACCATAATGATTGGTGACCTCTTTCTGCTGCAGCCTTCCTCCGCCTTCACAACCATTGTAACTTGCCGTGATTTTTCACCTGCTCCACCGTTGAGGTCTTTGTTGGACTCCTACCAGGCACCCCAAGAGCTACCTAACGTCATCAAAGAGGAAATGACTCGTGAAGGGCTCCTCGCCGGAGCTTGAGTCATGAGAGCATTCGCTCTCCTTAGTAATTCTTGTATTTTTCTATGAAGTGGGGTTCTCATCGGACACCTCCTCACCAGGGCTCTTCCGTGGAAGTTTGGAGGGTACAGGCAACTCCTAGGCCACCACGGCCCAGCTCTTAACCCCCCAAACTGCCTGGACACTCAGGAGGAAAATTATGTCTCCCAAGGTTTCCCTATTATCAGAAGGATATCTCCTGGGCCCTCTGAAGGTCTGCCTCTGCTTAAGCCCCCTCAGATTCAGAGGCATTTTCCATGGGCTCCTCTACTTGAGAGTCCCACTCTCAATGGAAAAACTCGTCAGAGCTGTAGTGCTCCAGCGGGTGCTTGCATGACAGGGCTGCCCTCGTGGCCCTGGCCTACTTAGCTAGGGTGGCCAACTGCTGCATCCTCACCCCCGACATGAGGTCCGAGTTGGCAGTGTGGTTGTGAATGGGTGTGCATCAGCTTGGTGAGGCAGGCGGGTAACTCCTGAGGGTTCCCAGCCACATTTGTCTCCCCCATGTTGCAATGGAGGGGCCTCCTGCTGGTTATGGCCAACTGGGGCTGTTGGGATCCCAGCGGGACTGGCCGTTGGCCATGCTAATGTTCTGCTCTCTGTCTGGACATCACAGACCCTGGGCTTTCCTGAGAAGCCTGCCACACCGGGTTGTGGAGGACCCCGCGTTAGACGGGGACTGCCTGTAACTTGTCTGGTTCCTTCAAAGCAGTGGCCCTCACTCGCGGCATTGCCGGCATGTTTTGCCATGACCTTTTTCTGCCAAATTTTGAGCCTCCATGCTCTTTCACCTCTATCTTTAGTGGGAAGGGCACTACTTCACACTGTCCTTGACACTGTTTTCATGTTCCAAGTAGTATAAACATGAGTGTGGATAGCTTGAGTGTCAGTGGCGATCAGCAGTCTTTGCACCTGCGATGCCGCCCTCGCACGAGCACTGTTGTGCACAGATTAATTCGCCAAACAGCTGTTTGCGTGGAAATCTGTACAAAGAGCAACAAGTTGCCCTAACAAGCCTAAAATTACTCGCAATTATGGATAATTATGGATTAAACTTTTTTTTCCGAGCGCCGGTTCAGAAATGTTTTAACAGCGGCGGTGGACGGACCACATGAGGGGGCTCACCTCCCCCTCTCCCACCCTCTCCTACCAAAGAGGCAATGGTGGAGGCCTCTGCATGTACATAATAATAACAAATTATTATAACGTTTCTCGGTGTTCGGCACAAAGACCGAGTTCGATTGTGTCTGAGCCTGAGCGTGTCGATGACCACCATATGAACAAATATTGTATACTGCTGTTGCAAACGTTTGTGTTTTACTTACGCTACTCTATGCCGTTGAGCATCTCAAATTTCACAGAAACACTGCCTGGGCAAAGACCCGACTCTCATAATGCTACATCGTATAAAATGCATTCCAAGGCAAACCTGTATTGCAAACACATAGAGCAAAATAAGGATTGTTAACACAGTAGCTGTGCATCAGCTTGGTTACTCGCGCAAGGGTAGTTACATGCAGATGACTGTTGTAGTTTTACGGGTGACAGCAATCCATTTGTTAATGAGGGCAGTTCCACACGTTTGCATGCACATCCCAGACACTATACAGAGGTGGGTATTCATGAGTATTATCGGGAAGTGGGTTTTATTTGGGCTTATGATTAAATTAGGACAGTAATTGAGATATGCATCATTCATCCTCCTTTACGGAAAAATTCGAATTACCACGGTGGTGTCGGATGTACTCAATGTTTCATCCATGCTGGGATGGAAGGCGAAGGTGTGTTCAGTTGTGTACACGTCAAAATACGTATTCGATAAATAATGCATGTCATAAATATGAGTAATTACTTTCACTTACAACACTCATATGTGATTACGTTTTGACTGCGAGGTGTTTCTAATCTTGGGAACTGCCCAATAGAAAACGTTTCAAATACCAATATACAAACATTACACGAGAGAGTGGCCCCTGTGGCAACGATGTGCAAATACAGCATCATGTGCAACAGAATCAATCACGCGAGACACAATGTAAAGGGGTAGAGATTACCTCGGGTATCAATTGAAAGAGAGCGTTGGAATACAGTGTCCCGATAGCCAAAGCTATGAAGTACATGAGCAGCCGGCGGTTAGAATTTTTTTCCTCATGAAGGGCACCACGCTGGCTCCCACCAGGGAGCACAGGGAGATGATGGTGACACACAGGAACCCATAGCCCCACACTGAGCACAGCAAGTCCCGCAGGGGGTCAGGAGGGCAAGGGTCACAATGACAATGGAAGATGAAGTCAAAAGAATGGTTTCATGCAGTAGGAAGGCAAAGAGAATGGGAACAAGCTCACAGTGTCAGGGTACACGAAGCAGGGGTCGTGAGCATGGTTACAGAGTGGCACGAGACACGAGGCAGGGGTCGTGAGTGTGGTTACAGAGTGGCACGAGACACGAGGCAGGGGTCGTGAGCGTAGTTACAGAGTGGCACGGGACACGAGGCAGGGGGTCCTGTGAGCGTGGTTACAGAGTGGCACAGACACGAGGCAGGGGTCGTGAGCGTGGTTACAGAGTGGCACAGACACGAGGCAGGGGTCATGAGTGTGGTTACAGAGTTGCACAGGACACGAGGCAGGGGTCGTGAGCGTGGTTAGAGAGTGGCACGAGACACGAGGCAGGGGTCGTAAGCGTGGTTAGAGAGTGGCACGGGACACGAGGCAGGGGTCGTGAGCGTGGTTAGAGAGTGGCACGAGACACGAGGCAGGGGTCGTGAGTGTGGTTACAGAGTGGCACGAGACACGAGGCAGGGGTCGTGAGCGTAGTTACAGAGTGGCACGGGACACGAGGCAGGGGTCGTGAGCGTGGTTACAGAGTGGCACAGACACGAGGCAGGGGTCGTGAGCGTGGTTACAGAGTGGCACAGACACGAGGCAGGGGTCATGAGTGTGGTTACAGAGTAACACGGGACACGAGGCAGGGGTCGTGAGCGTGGTTACAGAGTGGCACGAGACACGAGGCAGGGGTCGTAAGCGTGGTTAGAGAGTGGCACGGGACACGAAGCAGGGGTCGTGAGCGTGGTTAGAGAGTGGCACGGGACACGAGGCAGGGGTCGTGAGCGTGGTTAGAGAGTGGCACAGACACGAGGCAGGGGTCGTGAGCGTGGTTAGAGAGTGGCACGGGACACGAGGCAGGGGTCGTGAGCGTGGTTAGAGAGTGGCACGGGACACGAGGCAGGGGTCGTGAGCGTGGTTAGAGAGAGGCACAGACACGAGGCAGGGGTCGTGAGCGTGGTTAGAGAGTGGCACGGGACACGAGGCAGGGGTCGTGAGCGTGGTTAGAGGGAGGAGCAGGGAGGAGAATGAAGGGGGTCGTTATCACGCAGGGCATTGGTGGTGAGCGGGGGAGAGAAACAAAAACACCATTAATACATATGCAATGCTTCACCATAGCAAGTCATCAATATATCATTTCAACAATCACTGATCCACTCTTACAAGCTGTAATGTGTAGTGTACTGTGCAATAAACAGTCAAAGCTGGCTTACTCAAGTTTTTTTTAGCTGTTAACTTCATAAAACCTGCAGCTTATATTGAAAAGAGACTTCACATTTGAGTAGGAAAATACCCACGTGTAGCAATTGTGGCAGGGATCTTACGTCCCTAAACAATTGTGATTAATATCTGCACTTGGTCGGACTCAAAAGGAGGCGAGTTAAATACTCTTGCTACAGTAAACACACGTGGCTGTCAGAGTGGATATGACGTTCGCGTTCGGTGCTAGCTTGATTTCGGGCTGGCAGTCACGGGCGCATGGGCATGGCACCTCTGGCAGTAGCTGCAAGGCGGCGTTAGAGAACAGGGTTCCAATGGCGAGCGCAATAAAGAAGGTGAGAATGCGGCCAAAATAGGGTTTCTTGGTGAAGGGGACGATAGCCACCCCCATCAAGGAGGCAAGGCTGATGAGCGTCACACTCAGCAGGCCAAAGCCCCACACTGCAAGCAACACACCGTGCCCAAAATCAACAGGCTGCATACCGCACTCACTCGCCGGCATGCACACGGTATACTATAGGCAACACAGCAACTCTCCACACAACGTAACGTGCATTTAAACATAGTAATATTAGTATTATCGTATGCATTTAACGTCCTGCTAACGCACTGTGAAATTTAAACAAAAACATCTGTTCAGCGTTGTTGTGGAGAATGTTAATAGCAATACAAATAACGCCGCCGTCCCACATTTGCCTCTATGCATGACATGACCATTCTTATAATAATAGGGTTTTCCCCTTTTTTCTGTTGCCAGAAAAAAGGGGAAAAACCCTATTATTATATTTTGGTACTGGCAAAGGAGGTCTAATGATGACCATTCTTTACACATCCATTTGGCTGCACAACCTTCTGGGAGTGCAGCGTTGCTTCAGCACAAGCAAACTCTGCAATGAACTACGAATTGAATCAATACGGACAAAATCAGAAGGTCGTATGGCTTTTGGGTTGTGTAATAGCATACCTTTATTTTGTTACGGTTGGAGAGAAACATGGGAAGGAGGCGCTTTAATTCATCAAACGGAAACATCAGTCACATGAAGTGAATTTTGTACTTTCGTCCCAAGCTAGGTTTAAAAACATTCATTTTGGACAAGTGAAACAATTAGCCTGGTGCAAACAAGATAACGGGACAGGAGGAAAATAAGTCATGTACCCTCGTTAAACTGTGCAACATTGCAGACCAACCAAAATATCACCATTTTTGGATACCATCAAATCATGTGGCAGCTGAACTATAAATAAACATTTAGAAGCCAAGAGTAACGGCAAAATGAAATATGAATCCATGTGTATGATGGTAATTATATAAATAATTAGATAACACTCGAGTGCTGTGTGAGCGGCGGTGTTGAACTGCTTTGCAGACACCGGCTCGCTCTGTACGAGCGCATGTGCGGCCGACGTCCCAGAAGCAGAGTCACAGCCTACGTTAGCCCCACTATGTACACCCATGCGTCCGTTGTGAGGCAGCATTGAAGGTGGTATTAGTTGCTTCTGTTTATGTAATTTTGTTGTAGTACTTGGGATACAGTGATAATTGCTCTGACAGACCGAATTCCTGGAGGGCTGCTCCCAACTCGCTCACATTACGATGCGACATTCATTATATTTTTTGGTGTGTTTGTTAAAGGGCAGAATGGAGACGCCGCATTTAGTGCTTCATTATCGAAAGGTAATTTCTCTTTTGGAGGTTACGTTGGTCCCTTGTCACGGTACAAATAACCACAATTCCCCAGGGTACTGGTCCATGACTGTAGCGTCTGTTAACCAGGAGCGTCGGGAGAGCCGTATGGTCAACCGCCTGGCGCAGTGGCCGGCGAGCGAGCGTGACCATGATGGCAGGGTGAGCACGACGAGATCTGTGCAAGAGGCGGCCAAAATCTGTCCGTCCCTCCGCTCCAGCCACCCCGACCGTGGAGGCATTGAAAGGTCATGATACGCAGCTCGTGCAAACGTGGTGAAAACACGTTTAGCTTCGAATTTAGCATCTGACTTCTCAGCCACGGTGCCGTTCACAGCTGCTGCCTCCGCTCAGTTTGCCGGGTAGGACCGAGCAATGGTAAATTCTTGTGTGGGATTTAACAGGAACAGTGTTCGCTGGATATTTGTCAATCATTAGTTACAGATTTAAGAAACTGCAATGTAATATAATCCAATATATGCGTTAGAATTGTATTTGCAATGTAAAAACATGGAGATAATGTAATCCCAGATAATCTGTGGCATTTTTTTGCACTACCTGGACATCTCCCATTTTGGCCAAGTGTCAAAACCAGGGCTCCGTGTGTTTTCTACGCCCGACTGGGCTGGTACGACCTTGGTAGCACGCGGTGGTGCAAGGCGCTACGGCCGCCGCTTGTAATCGTGCAGCCTTAACCTCGCGATGTTCGCAGAGGTATGCGAATGCACGCAAGCACCCGCCCACGTGGGAGAAGCGAGTGGGAAGAAAAGCCAGCACAAGGCGCGCGTGTCGGTGTATGGAACCCACCTTCGGCAGGAGAGGGCTTATCAGTAGCCCGGTAGGCCGAGTCCGCAGAGGGCTCAGCACGACACACCTCACTGTCTGAGAGGGCTGGGCATAGCTCCTCAAGCCGCTGCTGGGAAAATCCACTCTGATTGCTCAGACTGCTTAATGTGAGCATCTCCGCATGGGACAAACACTGCAGGGCAGACACAGAGAGAGCGAGAGGAGAGTGGTGCTTGAGTAACGTAGAGTCAGTGCAATAATAATGAGGATGTTTATTGACATGCTCGTCACTGGGACGGCATGCATGGAACGGATGTTAATAATTTGCTGTCACCACCACACATCCCTTTCTGCCAGGGCACATGGAGAATAGGTAGGAGATAGATACAACAAACTACAATTCGTTTGGCAATATCCTAAATTAATTAATTAAGTCTCACTTGAATGGCTTTTGCAAATCACAAGAGCAAAAGTGATCGTGCAATCATCGTGGTTAAAAATGCCATTAGCTCAAGTTTACGAACGATGTTTTCTACTTAGTCCCGAATCCCATCCTTCTTGGTTGGGAAGATCAGTGCTTTGTGGTGTATACGCCCCGATTCCAGTAAGACAGCATCATTAGCACTCACACACCCCCTCCTACTGTCAAGAAGGTCATCTTTGACACACGGAGATGACGCAGGTACATATCACATCAGTGACTGTATAAAGATAAGACTGCCCACTTGAAGGTGAGATATATCACTGCATATTTATTTACCGTGCCACCCAACTGGTTTATTGCATCTCATGCAATAAAAACATGACCTCCACTACATTTGAGAAAAATTGGTAACGCTTCAGCGATAGATTTGCTGAAATTCTTCTGTCAGCTTGCCATTCAAACGTCGTGTCCACACCAGTGGCCCACCACTTCAACAGCGGGGATTACACCCTCAGTGACGCGCCAACGCATGGCCTCGTCCCGACCTCTGCTGGGAATGAGACCAGAAGAGGCTGCTCGCTACATTGTATTCAAACCGATACCGTTCAGCTGGCAGGTCTGAACGAACGCCTCACCTTCACTTAATATGTAGCTTTATTATTGACAGATACATCTTATCCCTTTCTAATTTCATATATTTTATTTCCACGTGGATAACTCACATTTTATTTCTCATATTTATCTGCCTAAGGAATGTAGGGGAGGTAAATGCCTTTAAGCTGGTGATTGGGCCAGAAATACATGCTCGGTGATCTAAATCACTATTTTCGCATTGTTTTTAGACTATGTAAGCACCTTGAGGAAGCTGCTCTATAATATAAATAAAAATCAAGCTTTGTCCTCACAAGAACAAATTCTTTCAATACAATGTGCCTGCAACATATTATAATTGAACTTTTTTGTAAATTATTTTTATTGATCCAACCACGAGGGGGGTGTAAAACTTCCGCGACAAGTAAGTGGTCCATAACACAACCAACACGGACATGTAGGACCATAGCGATGTGGTACGTGCGTCAGATCCATTTTCTTGGGGGAAAGGAGTCAGTCTCATTGTACGTTCAATATATTAAACGTAGGGCCTCTGGAGTGACATTCATGAGGGGGCCACAGACCTAGGTGAACTCCCCTTCCCTATTCCTCACTTTCAGACTCAGGTGTTCTAAAGCTGCTAAGGCGAATAGAGTAATGCCAGACGGTGAATGAGGGGGCCCCATGATTCTTCCAGGAGCTCAAGATGGTCTTTCTAATAGAAATGTCAAATGCTTGGAGAAGGATGTGTTGGTGCCTGGTGATACTTTGGGGTTAAAGGCCCAGGAGAAAAGATTCAATGTTAGGTAGTATCTCGGTGCCTGACATCACGTTCTATAGATTGGTTATTTTATCATGGAATATCCTGATGGTGAGACAGTCCCAGAAGACGTGAATGTATGTTTGGATGGTGCTCAGGGGGCACCTAGGGCAGTCTGGGGATATGGTCTGGGAGAAGTTTGCCCTCCGTTGGTTAGTGAGATATGTGTCATGAACGACCTTGAATTGAATCGTCCTAAGAGGGAGGGATCTTAGACCTTGCCAGGGGTTGTGCCAAATTAGTTTCCAAGACTCTAATAAGATAGGGTGGCACAGCGCACCCTCCCAAAGCGCTCTGGTATTTGGTCTCACCTCAGTAGGGCCGGGAGTCGGAGTTGGTATGCCTCAGAGATTTTATAGTGGGCCCTCTCCTCCGTCAGCCATACCCATACCGGGGAGGGGATCTTTCAGAGGTCAACATCCCTTGCCTTGTTAATAGGGTCCCTGATCTGGAGAAATTTGAAAAAAAATTGCTGTTAGGGATGTCATATCGCTTTCTAATGTTTTGGAGAGTGTGCATCCCCCCTGAGTCAGACGAGAGATCACCCAACCTCGATTCCGCTCTTTTCAAAGCTGGCCAGCCGACCCCCTTGCCCCCAATTCTGAGGGATGACTTATCCCATATAGGGGGACAGTCGCTGGAGGTCAAAGGTGAGAGTGATCAGTCTATTTCTCAGGATCCAGAGGGATGTGTTGATCGAGGATAGTGGTTTAAAATCTGAGTGCTTATCTCTTAGGTGCGAGTAGACTATTCCCTCAAGGCTCCAAGGAGATACTATTGCCTTTTCCCACTTCTTCCAGGAACCCTGTCTGTTCTTGTTGAGCCAATGCTTAACCGTAAGGAGGCCTCCCAATAAGTATTACTTAGAAAAATCAGGTAGCGCCAGCCCACCGCATTTCTTTCCTTGAGTTAAGGTATGGTTCTCGTTCCTGGCCATTTTGTGGCCCCAGACAAAGGAAAATATGAGGCAGCAGAGCTTACTGAAGAATTTCTGAGGTATCTTTGTCGGGATCATCCAGATGTGGTAGAAGGCCTTCAGAAGGGTCATCATTTTTACCAAGTGGACCTGATTGGGGAGTAATAGCGGCATATCATCCCAAACAACCAGGGAGGCCTCAATCTCCAAAATAAGGGGTGGGGGGCTAGGGGGGGAAGTTCTGTTTGAAGAGATCTGCTAGGTTGAAGGGTGATATTCACCCCAAGGTACTTGATTTGGGAGGGTCACCACCTGAAGGGGGAGACAATGGGTGGAGGTCTTCCTGAAATCGAAGGCAGGGGCATGATTTCTGACTTTGTGACGTTGAGTTCATAGCCTCAGACTGCACCGTTACTCCATAATAAGCTTCAGGAGGGCAGGTATTGAGGTGTCCAGTTTTGTGATTACCAGATCATCTGCGTATAAATTTACTTTATTTTTTGACTTGCACGTAGTGTATGCCTAATATCTTCTGGCTACTTGGTATTCTGGCTGCCAGAGGCTCAATTGCAATTGCAAAGAGGGGGGAAGGGGGCATCCCTGTCTCGTGTCTCTAGTGAGGGGGAACCTCTCTGAGACAAACACATTCATAGTAACTGTCGCAGTCAGATGAGCATAAAAGAGTCTGCACATTTCAATGAACCGGGGGGGGGGGAAGGCTAGCCTCTACCTGATTGAAAGTCTTCTCCCCGTCTAGTGCAATGGAGTATGCTTACGTGCTTGACGTGGAGGCAATATCAACTGAGTTGACCACGGTTCGGATGTTGTCTTAGGGATCCCTGCCTTTGACGAACCCCGTCTGGGCAGGGCTGATGACCACCAGGGTTATAGCATACAGCTTATAGTCCATATTCAAGAGAGAGATGGGCCTGTAGCTCTTGGCCTGGTCTAAGGGGGATCCCTATTTATGTATGACGGTGATTGTCGCCTCTTCCATGGCGTCCAGGAGTTTCCCTTGTCTAACAGACTCGATGAAAGTGTCAAGGAGGTGTGTTAGGATCGGAGGGCCCAGGCTTCTGTAGAACTTCCATGGGAAGCCGTTGGAGCCTGGGGCAATCCTTGCGGGTGAGGAATCCAGGTCTTCCAGGAGTTCGGGGAGCTGGATTAGAGTTTCCGAACCTTCCCTCCAATCGGGGTTAATATGGGATGGGGAGGCTCAAGTAGGAATTTATCAATGTTGGGGCTCCATGGAAGGTCTGACCGGTACAGGTCCTTATAGAAGTTGCATAACTTCTCATTAACCTTCGCTTTCCTCGTCCTGAGGCGCCCATCGGCATCCTTGATCCCAGCAATGTGGTTTCGAGTTTGCTTGCACTTGACCAGCTGGGCAAAGAGGTTGGTCGTGGAGAGAGAAGGGTCATGAAACGTAAACTTGCCCCTAAAAGAGAAGGGAGGTTTGATAATAGGTTTTCCCCTTTTTTTCTGGCAACAAAACCTTTTACAAGGAATCATGTGTGCATTAACCACAATATTTGTGGTCAGAATGCAAACAAAAAACACTCTAATAGTATATGCATTGTCTTTGAAACTGATTGATCCACAACAGAGACGGCTTTCTTTCGAGCCTCGAATGCCGTTTGAGACTAGGCCTGCTTTGTTGCCAGAAAAAAGGGGAAAATCTATTCTCAAACCTCCCTTCTCTTTGAAGTAACAGCCGTCAGGGGGGGGGGGGGGAAGGTGATGTCACGTTACCGAAGCTGACAGTCGGGCTCGAAATTGTCGACTCTAAATGGGGCCAACAGAAGGACCAAGTGGCTCATGATACCTAGAATTAAACAGCACGAGTCGCAAATGAGAGGATCCAATTGTCCGAGGAGGAGGCGAGGCCAAGACAACGTAGGGGTTGTAGGGGATGGAGGGGGGGCCAAAACAAACACGCTTATAATGTTTACACCTGTGACCCAAGAGTGGGGGTGCTACCGACCGCATTGGGGGTGGGGCAACGCGAATTGACCAAAATTACCAAGCCGACCGAGATGGTTACAATCCCATACCACAAATACAAACCCCCTTGCATTCCCCATACAGAGTGCTCCCCCAACACAAGGATCTAATACAACTCTGCTACGAAAAATAATGCAGGTGTATGGCGGGTGGGGTAGTTGTGAGAAAGGTGAGTGGGATAGTGATGCGTGGGGTAAGAAAGGCAGTGATATGGGGGCGGGGTGGGTGAAGTTGGGTGGAGTTGGTGCGGGCAAGGTGCGATGGGTGGATGTCCCGTTGGTCTCGAGGATCCACCAAGGCCGCTAGGATGACGGCTCCGACATCGAGGTCTCGGGGAAGAGAGGGGGGCCCACATGGTCAAGGTGCATGAGGCGAGGGGACAACGTGCCGTCTCCAGTCTCACTATTCGTGCTGTACCAAGGTGTGTCCCGGTGGGTC